TGCTCTCTTCATCCTCTGACATGGGAGCTGGCTCGGAGCTCCTCTGCCTGGCTGTGTGTGGACAGTTGCCTTTTGTATCTCTGCTTCTTTTCTATGTCCTCCTTTGTCTCCCAGTTGGCCGCTCACACTGAGCCTGGTTCTGGTTCTGCTGGAGGTTTCTTCCTGTTCAAAGAGATTTTTCCTCTCCACTGTGGCTGCATGCATGGTTGGTGTGACAAATTGCTTTCAAGTCAATGAGTATTCAGAATATTAAAATACAAAACATCTACACAGGAAACTCTGCATCAAACCTTTGTGAGGACATTTCTAGAAATGTATCATTCATTTAATGTAACAATTTCATGTCATTCATAAAAAAAAAATTGCATTTGGACAATGTTTTTATCTACAGGAGATCCTTCCACCACCTAGCTATTACTATGAAACCTCAATCACACATTACATTTCCCTTTGGGGTTAAATAGGTATTTTAAAAATGTAAATAATTAAGAAGACTGCATATTCTGACTTTGTTTCAGCTTTTATTATATGTACAAAAACGTAAAAAAAAAAAAAAAAGAGTTGCCTCTAAAGTTCCAGTTGAGCTTTACACTTTTAAGCCTGGAAAAAAAAAAAAAAAAAAATTATAATGACGAAGAAATTTAGTACACTTTCAAATAATACAGATTTCTGTTTGAGAGTGGAACCTACGTCGAATGGATGTTAACTTTAATACTTTAAAAACCTTCGTTTTTTTTTTTTTCATTTTTACATAGATTAAGCAACATGGAGTAAACATCCAGAGTGAGAGATGAACGTCAGCAGGGTGCGCCTATTGCATACGGTGGCATGAAAAAATGCCCAGCTTACAGATTTCTTTCTAACCTTAAATTGGTGAATATATAGATATTATATTTATATCGCGTTTTTAAAGTTAGGAGACTTGACCAAAGCGCTTTACACAACATTCAGTCATTCACCAGACCTTTGATGGTGGCAAGCTACTTTGTAGCCACAGCTACCCTGGGGCTCACTGACAGCGAGGCTGCCGTACGCCGGCCCTCTGACCACCATCAATAAGCGGTGGGGGTGAAGTGTATTGCCCAAGGACACAACAACATTAAAGGCCAGAGCGTGAACCGACAATCCTTCAGTTTCAAAGCAAACTCCACTTTAAACTTGGATTATGAACTGAAAATTCTTAAAAGTGCTGAACAGAGAACGGAAATCTTGCTGTCAGTTCAGTTGATTAACATTCAACCAGGGGAAGATTTAGGACATTTGGGGCCCTGGGTAAAGACAGACAGGGGGCCCTCTGAATGGAGAAGACAACACATAAAACCCATTCTACAGATAGAGAAATGTTAATAGAATAGATATCCATTATTGCCCCCTGCGAATAAAAAGATATATATAAAAGAAATGTTCTGTGATAGAATGAAATAACTGAATTTGTAGAACCTCTAGCAGAAATAATGGAATCACCAGCCTCCAACCTGCAAAGCTGATCTGGTAACAGCAATCAGAGAAAGCTGAAGCCAGATTGATGAAGAGTTCAATCAAAGTCTCAGACTGAAAGCTGTTAGAAATGCAAAGGTGTTGCAACAAAATACTAGCCATGTGTTGGACCATCTTTTGGTTTTTCATGATTCCACATTTTTTCCCTCTGCTTGGTCTAAAAAATTCACCGTTACTGACTACCGCATTTTTGTTTCTTGATTTCTCGGGATGCACGATATAATCGGCCCCCTATCGGTATCGGCCTGTATCGGCCTTAAAACTGAATATCGGATATCGGCCACCCCACCGATATTTAACCCGATATTTGATCAGCTTCTGAGTTTCTTAAGTAAAATACTACTTCTTCTTCGTCCTCAAAAACTTCTTTTTTACAGACTTAAAAACTTCTATCTTCATATGCTGATATATTGCCATTTAAAAACACCATATCAATCTCTTTTACTAATGAAATATTGCTATATGTCATCGTTATGCTACGAAATCCCTTAAAAAATAAACAAAATTTTGCCATATTTTTATATGTTGATATATTGACGCAGTACCAATCTATTTTACTAACAAAATCTCA